TATTGTTTGAAACCGAAAATTAAGATGGAAAAAATGGAAGATCACATCAAAGATAAAAATAAAGTAAATCAATAAGAGTTACATAAAGAGAAGAATTAATTAACCTCGATAGTGAGATTAGAAACAAAAAAATATGAAAAATTTAATGGATTTAGGTGATTTTAATAACAAACAAATGGCAACAGGAGAAGCAAAAAAATAAAATTAGTTCCCAGGAATCATCCCCAGAAACCTTCAAAGTGAAAGTGAGGATCTTCAGCGGAGAAATACATGATTCCTGACGCCAATCCATGGCAGCATACAATGGGTATGGCTCCGCCCCCAGCCCATTGTATGATGCCATGTATTGGCATCAGGAAGATGAGATATACTAACACATAGTTTAAAGGAGAACTATGGGATCAGGGCTTTTCCCCATAGTTCTCCTCAGGGTAACGGGAGGACACAAACTAGCGTCCTCCCGTCACCCAAAGCTCAGTATACAGGGAGCTACAGCTAGCGGTATACTGAGACCGCCACAGCCTACCGAAAATTAAGATGGAAAAAATGGAAGATCACATCAAAGATAAAAATAAAGTAAATCAATAAGAGTTACATAAAGAGAAGAATTAATTAACCTCGATAGTGAGATTAGAAACAAAAAAATATGAAAAATTTAATGGATTTAGGTGATTTTAATAACAAACAAATGGCAACAGGAGAAGCAAAAAAATAAAATTAGTTCCCAGGAATCATCCCCAGAAACCTTCAAAGTGAAAGTGAGGATCTTCAGCGGAGAAATACATGATTCCTGACGCCAATCCATGGCAGCATACAATGGGTATGGCTCCGCCCCCAGCCCATTGTATGATGCCATGTATTGGCATCAGGAAGATGAGATATACTAACACATAGTTTAAAGGAGAACTATGGGATCAGGGCTTTTCCCCATAGTTCTCCTCAGGGTAACGGGAGGACACAAACTAGCGTCCTCCCGTCACCCAAAGCTCAGTATACAGGGAGCTACAGCTAGCGGTATACTGAGACCGCCACAGCCGGGACGGATCCTGACAATACTGTCTGGATCCACCCAGCTGCCTCTAGATAGGCAGAGCCAGCTGTGCCCGCCCCCTCCCCCGTCCGTTCTGCCAGTCAGCGCTGGAGGATCGGACAGGGGAGGGGGGGGCTCCCTGCAGGGAGCCGTGAGGGACAGTCACAGCTCTCTGCAGGGATAGATTGAGAAGTGAGCGAGCGACGGTATGTGTTCGCTCACTTCCCGATCTACTGAGCCGACCTGTGACAGTCTCATTGTGACAGGTCGGCTCAGATTATGAGGCTGTATGAAAATCACTCCCCTCATAGTTCTCCTTTAAAGAGACACATTGGAATGCATACATACCAAAGACTAGTTGTTGATATCTCATAAAAGAATATTTCCAGTGGAATGTTAAGAAGAGTAGGGAGGAACTGTACTGGAAGTGAAAGATTTTAGGAGACAATCGGCATTGATTTTGAAAAGGTTTGTAGAAAAGGGCTACAAATAGTGAACAGGGAGAGAGAGAAATCACTCGGATAGGAGGGAAAAAAAGGAACTTTAATGTTACAGATTAAAATACAAAATATAGAGAGACTGGGAGGATTTTCTATAGGTATTGGCCAATTATCAAGAAAGACGAGGCTTCAGCCTCCATGCTACTGAAAATAATGAAACTCGTATATAGGAAAAGCTCCAACTTAAACAATGTAAAAAGAAAGAAGGAAAGATTTTGTATCCGAGAAAATGAGGCGCGGGATTTGTGTTCTTGTTTCTATGATGTATGCGGTGTCACATGTGCTGCAGTGTCTGTCCTTTCATTTTCAGAATGTATCTCAAGAGGGATCCATCAGCGTTTTGGGGTATTGATAAGGTAGAAAATCACTGGAGGAGGAGGAGCAACCAATAAAAAAAGAGATGTAGCTAAAAGAAAAAAGTCCAAATCCCATTCGCACTGCCACGGTCTCCAAACCACAAGGTATATGTGGTGCCCAGGTGACCACACGGATGGCGCCGTGCTAAACACTAATAGTAAATGAAAGTAATTCACCGGCACACACTTGAAGGGTTTTTAAAGTATTGATATATTTATTCAATACCCAACGTCACATACTGTCACACGGTGCTAACATTTCGGGTCCGCACAGGGATCCTTCATCAGAGCGACAGTGACACCATATCAACACTTTAAAAACCCTTCAAGTGTGTGCCGGTGAATTACTTTCATTTACTATGTAGCTAAAAGAGACACATACTGGACATATGAATGAGATACATTAAAGGAGAACTATGAGGGGGGAGGGGGTGCTTTTCACTCACCTTGTAGTTCTAGCCGACCTGTGACAATGAGACTGTCACAGGTCGGCTCAGTAGATCGGGAAGTGAGCGAACACATACCGGCGTTCGCTCACTTCTCGATCCTGTCACGGCTCCCTGCAGGGATTCCCCGCTCAGATCCTCCAGCGCTGACTGGCGGATCGGACGGGGGAGGGGGCTGGTACAGCTGGCTCTGCCTCTAGATAGGCAGAGCCAGCTGTCACTCACGCAGCTGGGCGGATCCAGATATAATTGTCAGGATCCGCTCCGGCTGCGGCGTCTCAGTATACCGCGAGCTACAGCTCCCTATATACTGAGCCTGGGGTGATGGTAGGACGCTAGTTTGTGTCCTCCCGTTACCAGAGTGGGTCCTGGTTGGTGTAGTAATAAAAATGGCGGGCGTGTATAAATAAACATATATATTTAATTATGTTGTGAAAATTGGATCTTCAGGAAACATCCAGGCAACCTCAGTTCTTCTCCAGAGAGTAGCGTTTAATTGGATCGAAGAAACAGATGAACAAGAACAGTCCGACAGGATAATAACCAAAAATACAATTTCCAGACCTCAGATGACAAAAGGTTCCATGATGACCCACTCTATCTACCCAGCAGTGGCGTCACAAGAGGGGTGCAGCCGGCACCTGGGTGACACCAAAATGACTGAAAGTCATTTTGGTGTCACCCCTCTCTAAAAAGTCGGGCACTCGGTCATGGACCGAGAGACCGACAGTGTCAGGAGAGAGGAGGGGACCCGGCGGCATACCTTATCCCTCCGGGTGAACGTCCCCTCCTCTCTCTGCCGGCGCCCATCACCAAGATGTCCGCCGGCAGGTGTCAATCAGATGCCTGCGCATTCATTTGGTTGTTTGGTGATATGAACATGTGCAAGATGAGCCGAGCATTCTAGTGGCGGATAGGTGGATTCAAGTGTGCTAAATGTGGAGGGGGGGAGGGGGGTAACATATGATATAAGGAAGTGAAGATGGACGGAGCCCTACCCACCTACCGACCGAGCTTTGAGTCTAGTTGGGTCGGTTTGAGTTGTTCTCACCTCGTTGTGCTCCAGACATGCAATCATGACCTCGGATAAGATCACCACTCCGGTGCGGCCAACGCCTGCGCTACAGTGGACGAGCACAGGGGGGTTGGGGGTGTTGGGATCATTTGTGCTGTTCGTATGCCGCCGGACAGACTGAATCTCTTCGAGATAAGCTGAGAAATATAACATAACATATAATAAAATGTATTGCAAATCATAAACATTTTGCATCAGAGCATTGCAGTGCATATATATACACCGAGTGGCCGGATTATTATATACACCGAGTGGCCGGATTATTATATACACCGAGTGGCTGGATTATTATATACACCGAGTGGCCGGATTATTATATACACTGAGTGGCCGGATTATTATATACACCGAGTGGCCGGATTATTATATACACCGAGTGGCCAGATTATTATATACACCGAGTGGCCGGATTATTATATACACCGAGTGGCTGGATTATTATATACACTGAGTGGCCGGATTATTAGATACACTGAGTGGCCGGATTATTATATACACCGAGTGGCCGGATTATTATATACACCGAGTGGCTGGATTATTATATACACCGAGTGGCC